TATGTTATATATCATAATTCTGCTCCTTTATCATCATCAACATCATCATCATCACCATCATCATCATCATTATACCGTCATAGCGACGCTGTCCAAACATTTGGGTGTATTTTTTAACTGCGTTACCAACCTCTTGCAACTTTTCACAGGGGACATCATCAGCCTAGCCTAAGCAAATTTCATTTTTCCAGACACATATTATTTTGAGTACTTCGACAACCGAAAGTACTGCAGGTTTTATGCGCCCCTATTTTCTTTTCTTTTCTTTTGGAATTTTGTTTTTAAAGACTAGCTAGGGCTCTACAAGGACATGTTCGTGCACCCGACCTCTCTGGATGCCCCCTAGTAGTGGTACAGACTCTAGAAAAGTTTCATTTCAAATTTAGTGAAAATGATGTATAAATGGTATATTAAGCTTTCAAAAAAACATTATTTTCTTTCTGGCATATATATAAACCTACCTGAATTTTAACGAAACGCGGACAAGAATTACGAAGTGACTTAATAGTCTGAAACACGTCAATGATATGTTCTTCTTTGATTTTTTCTACAATAGATGATAGACTGCAGAATAACCCAGATCGTGAGCAACCATCACTGCAATAGAGTACAGAAACTTATTATGTTGTCATTTATGACAAACTAACCCATATAAGGCGCCTAATAGTATAAATGCAAAAGTAGAGCTATTTTAACTTACAGACAGTGAATGACAACTGGTTTACCAGGATGCGCCGCCTGCCATCGTTCAACATCACTCAGAAGATTCAGAAAGTCAATTGGTTGTGGGACGGTAACGTCGTTAGGCCACGCAGTAAAAGCATAGTGCTGTATTTCCCGTATAGTCTGTGCCTTTAGAACAAGAAAATATGTTACTAGTTGGTATAATCCTTCAAAGAAGCTTTAATAAGTTAACAGGGCCTAATAAAAATGATTGATTGATTCATTGAGAATAAAAGTCATAAACCTACACCTACATGAATAATCAGGGGCGGATCCAGTAAGAAGGGGGGGGGGGAGGGGCACGTTTTGCCAATAAATTTTAAAAATTCAATGCATATATTGAAATTAGCGCTACTTGCTTATCTATTCTGAATATGTTGTGCCGCGCCCCAGTTTGAAAAAAAATCTAAATCAGCCCCTGAATTAATAATAATAAAAAAAAAAACACATTACCTTCATTTTCTGGAGGGTGAGTCTCCGAAGCGTCATGTGATTATTATTCTGTGTAGATTGTAGTTGAACTTCAAACGCACCATAGCGCAGATGCGTCGCTTCAGTTTCCGGAAAGTAGTTAGCCAATCCCTAATAAAGTTAAACTACATTACTAAAAATATATGATTTTTCTACATCAATAGGCAGTAGCATCATCATTATCGATATTGATTATCAATTCCATCATCTTAATCGTCATTAACGGCTTAAATGTTATCATCATCTTCGTCGACGTATATGTTTTTGTAGCCGACATTATAATACAAATACAAACACAAATAAAAAATCACTTTATTGCAGTCATCAATATAAAAAGAGATTGAAGTTTAACATCAAAATGGGTTTCCCCAAAACACGACGAACCTCACAAAAGCAACATGAAGAGAACGTGAGGAGAAAGGAAGTGTTGACTGTGCAGGGAAAGTTACCAATTTTGGAACAAACCATGATTGATTATAAATGTTTTTGATCGATTTGTGTTGACCTTCGGGATACTAAATTGACGGGTCTTCTAAGATTGTATTTAGAATCGCGGGCTGTAGGTAATGGTTTAATCTATGATTAGAATCCTTGATTTTGTTAAAGAAATCCCTACACAGTCGAACACGTCGCTCTTCCAATGTTGGCATTTCAAGCAGAGACCGAGCTCCATTATAACTAACACCAGGAAGGATACACTTAAGCACTCTTTTTTGGATCTGTTCCAGAACTTGGCTTTGTTGCTTAGTGATATTAGTACCCCACACTGGGGCTGCATATTCTAGAATAGGTCTAATAGTACTGATATAGAAATGAACAAGTTCAGCGGTATTGAGACCAGCTCTACGAACTTGTTTTAAGAAGTACATTCTAGTATTGCATTTACTGATTATATAATCAATGTGGGGCTGCCAGGATAAATTATCTGATATGATAACACCAAGCAGTTTAAATTCTGAAACACGTTCCAGGGTACATTCTCCAAATGGAGTGGGTAAATATCAGATTTGGCTCTTTTACAGCTAATCGTCATTTCCTTCGACTTTTTAAAATTCAGTGACATATTATTGTTATTTGTCCATTCAATAATCTCATCAAGAATGGTTTGGAGCCCATTTACCCCTTCCTTGCCGACGCGCTTGTAGACGGAGGTGTCGTCCATGTACTTTATACACAGCACTCCCTCCAAAAGATCGTCGACAAAGATGATAAACAACATAGGCCCCAACCAAGACCCCTGAGGGATCCCTCCGTTGACCTTTAACCATGGAGAGACAACATTACCCAGCTTAACCCGTTGTTGTTTTCTCTCTAAAAGAAATGCATAAATCCAAAAGATTAGATTACCATCGATTCCTAATTTATATAATTTATTAATAAGAATGTTATGGTCAATAAGGTCATAAGCCTTTCTGAAGTCTAACAGAAGGAGTCTCATTTCATCCCCCTGGTCAGTTGCAGAAAAGCACCCATTTAACAGACTTATGAGAGCATCGGTGGTGCTGACACCCTTTGAACAGCCGAATTGGTCCAAATTAATCCTATGCTTAACTTGGTTCCAAACCATCCCCGATGATTCCCTCAATGACTTTCATTGTAGACGAAGTCAGCGAGATGGGCCGCAGATCGCTCTCCAAAATTATAGGAGGGGTCACCTTAGGTATTGAGACCTGTCTCTTATACACATCTAGATGTGTATAAGAGACAGAGCCTATAGATAACGATAACCGAATGCTAATAATGAATCTATGGTCTAAGATACAAACATTATTTGAAAATTATGAGGCTACACTGCGTATATATGATGGATAATGTATAACCTATCTAATCGGTTTTCAGTACAAAACAAACATGTTTTAATTTGTACATTACCGACCAGTGGCGGATCCAGGAATTTGAAATAGAGGGGGTCCCAAGGTGGGACTTTTATTGATTGAGGGTTTATCCACCTCAGCCCCACCATGGTTGAGGCTGGGATAAGAAAGTTTATGATTATGGCACTTCTTGATATGACCGGAAATCGCACACCCAAACTCGAAATTTGAATATAGTTTTCCCTTTTTATAAGTTTTTTTTTCTGTTAATTCGAAAATTTGGACCGGTTTGGTCCGCTTGAATCCACCAGTGCCACCAACGGGAGAGCAAGTGTGTTAGTACCATATTTTTCAGTACATTTATGCATAACAGCGACCCGGTGCCCTATTAGTTTTAGTACATACTCTAATTGTAACCCACCTTAAAAACCAAGATGCTATACCCGCTTGCAGAGGACTGTGCTCAATGTCCACAGGAATCAACATGTGTCTAATGTGGAATTATATGTTGACCTACCACATTATGCCATAAGGTCAGGGCAAGAAGAACAAGATTTTGCTGGTCATTGTTCCAGGAGCGAGGAGGAGCCAGCATCCAAGTTTATACCTGTCTCTTATACACATCTAAAGCACCCATTTAACAGACTTATGAGAGCATCGGTGGTGCTGACACCCTTTGAACAGCCGAATTGGTCCAAATTAATCCTTTGCTTAACTTGGTTCCAAACCATCCCCGATGACTTTCATTGTAGACGAAGTCAGCGAGATGGGCCGCAGATCGCTCTCCAAAATTTTAGGAGGGGGTCACCTTAGGTATTGGGACCACGTCAGCTGATTTCCAAAGTTCTGGGAGAACACCTTTTCTAATACTAGCACTTACGATGGCACAAATAGGCTTGGACAGTATATTTGCGAAGTCATGTAATACCCATGGGGGTATGCCATCCGGCCCAGGAGCCTTATTGCATTTCACCTGTTTTAATGTAGATTTAATAGTTTCACAACTGGCTATCAAAGGTTAGGTATCATCAAACCTATTAATGTCTGCGGCTTTAGCCTCGATGGGTTTAAAATTTACAGTAAGGGACTGGAAAAAGATATTAATATTCTCGGCAAGCGCCGATATACTACCGTTACATAAATTGATCGCCATGACTTTAGCATAATTACCAATTATCGTCATTATTATCATTATCCTTATGATAATAATCTTTTCCGTTGTCATCATCATCATCGTCATTCCAATTATTATCATATTCTTCATCGTCCTTGTCGTCGTTTTTATCACCATCCTTATCATCATCATCTCCTTCTTTTACACCATTCAATTCAATTCAATATCATATTATCTGTCATCATCATCGTCATCATCATTTGCACCACTATCAGTGTTCCATAATCACACCCGTTAGCCAATGTAAACTTCCTAAGTTAGCGTCATAAACTGTATCTATCTCAATTACTATTTCTCATTCACACCGCGGTCAGTGTACATAAAAATCATGAGTATTATAAGTAATGTAGTTTTTATATTTTATAACGCTTTTTACCGAAGTCTCAAAGTGTTTGAGGTGTGGACTATCTCGTACAGTAACTTGCTTCTCACCTAATGGTCGCTCTGTCCACAATAGGGGCTGTATGGACCAGTACACCGAGGTAATCCCCTTCTCGTCTCGAAAGATGAACTAGGTTCTTTAAGTGCACATGAGCCAAATTGTGTACACTGGGCCTACGGTTTATAGTACTTAGCGAGAAGACTTGTTCCACCACCAGAACCATAGGCGAGCGTGCCGTTTTGAACCAGCGCCGATGTTATGGCTACGCTGTGGCGCCCCTCGACTAT